TCATCTGGGAGGAAAAAAAAACTCGAGCGCCCATTGTTGAGGGTGGGAATGGAGTGAGTTCTGTCTTGGTCTCTTCCTTAGCCATCTTTCATGTTCATTGTGAATGAAGCTCCATAGAAAAGCAGCTCCTTCCCAGGTAGCAGCTTACCACCGTGGTGAAAAGCCCAGCCCCTCTGCTTCCTAATGGGATTATATTGTTTTTCATTACAATGGGAACTTCCATTCCCTAACTGTCCTAACTGATGTCTGCTGAAGGAGCAGAGCCATGTTTTTGCTCTCTGTTCGGCGTTGGTCAGAGGACCGATGGCTGCAGCACCACTCAGTCCGTCAGCACGTCCAGCTTTGGGAATTCCGTGTGTTTCTCTGCAGATGAAAGTCTGGGTCTTAAAATCTCGATTAGATGACTTGGGCTAGGTCAAAACCGAAATTGAACCAAAGAAACACATCAAAGCGTTGGGATTGCAGCATGCTTTTTTTTTTTTAATTAAACGAGACGGTAGATCTGCTCTCACTTTATTAACCTGATGTCACTCGAAGTAACCTGTTGCTTTGCCAACCACCCTCCCTATGTGAAACTGTTTTTTTTCCCAGGCCGGTGTCCCGGCGTGCTTAATAACGTGAGGCCAGGATGGGACTTTGCACAGAAACCACCGGTTCCACCCGGCGCTGGTTTGGGGTGGTGAGGAGGAGCAGGCAGGGCTGGGAACGCAGCAGAGCAATGCAGTCCTGCTGGGTGCCAGGAACCGTGCTGCGTGATGCAGGGGGAATGCAGGGCTCGGGTGGGCACTGCCTAGGGCCAGCACCATGCAGGGACCAAATCCCTCATTGCTGAGGCATGGGGTTCCCAGTGTGGGCAATGAGAGTGCCATAGGAGCGGGGTGTGACTCTGGGAGCTGCGGTGTTGCTCGCAGGCTGTGCCAAGAGAAGCCACTGACACAACTGGAAAAGTGACTCCTGCTGGTTGTTTCTCCTTCCCTTGGCTGGCGCTTTGCAAATGCTTGAGATCTGTTTGTCCCGTTGGCCACTTGGTTCATTGCTTGCTGTCTGGATGGTGAAGGCGTCGCTCAGATGTGCCAAAAGTGGGACCCTCCTTAGGCACCAGCGCGCCGTGCAGGCAGTGGCTGTGCTTTGTGACACAGGGCCATCTCTGCTTGCTGCAGAGGTGTGAACTGGTGGTGTGAACAGGTGGGAACTGGAGGTGTTCCCATCCTGGTGGCGGATGCTCAGCCCTAGCAGGGAATTGCCCGGCCCCGTTAACTCAATCACCCCAAGATGGGCCTGAAGTAAAGGCCTGAGCCTTCCCTGCTCGGCTTTCCCATGGTGCTGTTGCCTTAGGGGAAACAAGCTGGCCACTTGTGCTCCCAGCAGATGAGGAAGGGGTTATGCAGGAGCAGCTTGGGCTCCTGTCCCCTCCCATCGTGTGGTGCTGGGGACAGGGATGGGGACAGTCCCCGTGAGTCCAGCACCTTTAAACACCCCCCAGTCCCATGGGGGTGGGTTCCTGCAGGGCTGTCGTGTCCCAGATCAGAACAAAGCAGTGCGTGAGCCCTGCCGGGCTGCCTGGCTGTCAGCTGTGCTGCTGGTGGCAGATGGCAGCTTAGCGCCGATAGGAAAGCAGCAAAGCTCCTGAATCGAGCAGGGGTGAAAGGTCACAGGAACATCTGCCTCGGGATGGGATGCTTTCAGTGCCTGCATTGCTGTGCAGGGACACAACCTGTTGCTGACACGCTGAAGAAATCCACACTGGTGGATGAGCAGAGGGGTGATGGGGCTGAGTGCTGCCCTGCAGCTCTGCTCGTGGGGTGCTGGGATGTGAAGCCCACCCAGCTCACCCCTGTTCCCACCTCTCGTTCATGCTTTTAGTTAGGTGCTCTGCAGGGCTTTCTCAGAGCCCCGCTGCAGCATGGTGCTGCTGTTGGGGACATGCTGAGGATGTGCAGCAGACACAACAAAGGCACGTGCCCGCGCCCAGCAGAGCTGTGTTTGGCCCAAGCTCGGTGCTGGGAGTTTGGGAATTTGGAGCCGCCGTTCCCATTCCCAGGCTGTCCCCTGGGAGCTGCTGTCTGACCTCGGCTGGGTCTTTCTGCATCGTTTTTTGCTTGCAAATTGCACACCAGGGACATCTGGGTCTGTGCAGTGCTGTTGTTGTGCCGGGATACAGCAGTGAGCTCAGGGATGGTGCAGCAGCTCAGAGCTGGGGGGTGTGGGGTGTTCCTTTTTGCAACAGCTGAAGGGGAGAAGTGTTTCTCAGCTGCTGCTCGGGGCGGAGAGGCGCTGGTATTTGTAGCCTGGGCACTTTGAAGCCACTTTCTAGTGGCCCTTCGGAGGTGTTTTGATGCTGAAGCACCCGCCCTGTCCTTTGCTGGCACTCATGTCTGTAATTAAAGCGTAGCTTTAATGTCTCTTATGCTAATGCCCAGAGGCAGGTTGGGTTCAGTCTGGGCAGTTATTGCTTGGGAATCGCTAAAGGAAAATCCACAGGGTGACATTCCCTGGGCTGCTTGCATCCCTTGGTGCTGTGCAGACCCTCTGTTGGGCACAGCAAGGGCAGTGCTGGTTTGAATGGTGCTTGCACTGTATTGCTTATTTCTGAATTGCTGCTCAACCAGCGCTTCCAGCGGCTGGCAATGGAGGAGAAATCCAACAGGCAAGCACCATGCAGTGCTCGTGCTCATGCCCATCATCAGCCAGCCCAGACCCAGTGCACAAGGCAGCCCTGTGCCCAGCCCTCTCTGCCCCTTTGCACTCTCCCCAGCACCTTGTCCCAATTGTGCTGTAACTCAGCTTATAAACAGGCAGAAAGCCATAAAAAAAAACAGGGCTGTGATCTTTGAGGTCCCTTCCAACCCAGCTGTTCTGTGACTTCAGAGGTTCCTGGCAGCAGCTGGGTGTGCTGGTGGGGCCCTGGGGGCCATTCTGGTGCATTTGGTGTGGTGGGAGCTGTGCTGGTCGCTGATGCAGCCCCAAGCCCTGGCTCTGCAGAAAGCCCCGCAGCACCCTTTGGTTCCCCTGCCGTCCCAGGTGAGCTCCTCCAATTGAATCACGGAACCACTGAGGTTAGAAAAGATACTAAGATCACCAAGTCCCCCCACCAAATGCGCACTGACCGTGTTCCTAAACCTGCTAACGAACCTCCCCGCTCATCACCATGCCCAGCTCGGGGGGGGGGGGGATGGACGTGCCCTGCTCTTGGCCGTGAGCTCCAAACACCAAAATTGGAAACGATCCGAGCGCTAATTGGGAGGGAGGGCTCTCCCTGTGCCCCATCTTGGTGGAGGCACGGCGGCACCGCATCACCGATTCCCGCGCTGTCCCCGCAGCTCTTTGTCCAACACCATTTTTCCCCCCTTGTTTTGTTCCCCCCCCCCCCCCCTTCCTCCCCTTTTCTCCCATCTCAGGACCCCGTGACGCCGCCCCATCCGCCGCCAGCGGAGCCCTGAGGATTGTTTTAAGAAAAAAAGCGTGTGTGGTGTGGAGAGGCGGGGGCTTAACAGATGACTGCACACACTCAGCGCTCCGCCAGCGGCGTGCCTTCGCCCAGCCCCGCACAATGGTTCCTCTCAGGCAGCCGCGGCCCCGATCCTCGCTGTCCCCATGCAGCCACCCAGAAGCGCCGGCGCCCCGTGCTCAGAGCCGGGCATCGGGTACAGGCAGCTGCTCTGCCTCATTAGGATGCACACCTGCTCCCCGCCGCCCTTTGTGTGCTGAGCAGATGCCCTGATTTATTATTATACACATTTTCTTTTTCATTTGGCCTGGATAATGCCGTCTCATTAACTCAAAATGTCTCAGAATCCTGACAAATTCTCACACAATCCCCGACAATGAAATCAGAATTGGGTTAAAAGAAAAAAAAAAAAAAAAAAAAAACCAAAAAAAAAAAAAGAAGGAGAAAAGTAGGGGGAGCAGGGCAGGGATGTGCTCCTGCAACAGCGCAGTGGTTATGGCCATGGGAGCCCCATATCCAGGATTTGGGGTTGTGAGTGTGGGGGCACCATGTCCTGCAGCTGGGGTTGTGGTGGCCATGGGAGCCCCGTGTCCCAGTTTTGGGGTTGTGGTGCCCATAGGAGCTCTGTGTTCAAGCTTTGGGGTTGTGGTGGCTGTGGGAGCCCCGTGTCCCAGCTTTGGGGTTGTGCTGCCAATGGGAGCTTCGTGTCCTGCCTTTGAGGTGCTTGGGCTGTAGTTTGCAGACAAGCATTCTTTCCAGGCTGTGGCTTTCTCCATGCATCCTACTCAGGGCATAGCACGCTGGCACTGCAGGACAGGGCTGCAGCATTGCCTTGCTCCTCCTGTGTCTTCTCTACCACAGTGCCCATGGCAGCATGGCCAGTGCAGAGCAGGATGTCCACGCCATTTGCCCCCTTGCAGCACATCCCCATCCCTGTGGCTGTGGGTGGCAGATGGCTGAGCCCATGGCCATCGTGTGGGGACTTTTCTCAGGGCCCCCATGCAGAGATACCAGGCTTGGTGAGGGTTTATCGTGGAGGAGGACCTCAGCTGCTCTGAGCTGTGCCCCACCTGTTAGCAGCCAACACTGGGCCTGTATTTCTTCCCGTGTGGCTGAGGTCTGTTGATACAAAGGGTGAAGAGCAGGGCTGTGGGCAGACAGCAGGGGCTCAGCCCAGGGTTGCTGCAGGGCTCTCTGTACCAGATCTGGGGGTGTGTGGGGCCGGTGCTCCCAGTTCTGTGGGGTGAGCCACGCGTGTCCCCCCCCCCCAGGCCTGGGTTTCCTCTTCAGTGCAAGGGGAGTGCAAGAAGTGCTTTGGAATGAAAAGCAGGATACCGGGCTTGGAGACTGTGGTTTTGCAAGTCTGTGCAGGCTCCTTGATGGGGGAAGCCTTTGTTGCAGGCGCCTCTTTCATCTTCCTCTCCTCTCAAGGTGCAGCTCAGCCCAGAGCCACTGCCAACACAGCAGGGCCGGGTGTGCACGTGGTGCCGGTACCTGAGCAGGCACCCCGATCCCTACAATGGGTCACACTGATGGCATTTCTCACCCCCAGGTGCAGCAGTGCCCACGTGGGCGAGCGATGCCAGCTGCCCAACCCCTGCCTCAGCTCCCCCTGCAAGAACGCCGGCACCTGCATCCCCCTGGTGCGTGGCAGCACCGCCGACTACAGCTGCGTCTGCCGCCTGGGCTTCACCGACGAGCTCTGCCTGACACCTCTGGACAACGCCTGTCTCAACAACCCCTGCCGCAACGGGGGCACCTGCGACCTGGTGACACTCAGCGAGTACAAGTGCCGCTGCCCGCCGGGCTGGTCAGGTGAGGGGTAGGGATGAGTGGCAGTGGGACGGGATGGAGTGGGACAAGAGTTGTGCCTGGAGAGGTTCAAGGTGGATTCAGTGTCCCTGGAAGTGTTGTAGAATAGGAGAGATGCGGCGCTGGGAAACATGGTTAGTGGGCATGGTGGGATGGGTTGGGCTTGGGGATCTGAGAGGGCTTTTCCGTGCTGAATGACTCTGTGGTTGGATGAGATGAGCAGCCTTTACTGAGGGCTGCTCCTTGAACACCCCACTGCTGGAGAAGGGCGCTGAGCTTTTCTCTGTCAGCACTGAAAACAAATGGTGAGGGTTGGTATAGCTGAGCCTGGGCGATGCTCAGCTGGGGGGAGTTATTGGCACCCCCCTGCAAACACAGCTCTTGAGGTGGCCCTGTGCCCCAGCACTAAGAGCTGCTCTTTGCATCCTCCTCTTCCCTCCTTCCCCAGGTAAAACCTGCCAGCAGGCCGATCCCTGCGCCTCCAACCCCTGTGCCAACGGGGGTCAGTGCGTCCCCTTTGAAGTCCACTACATCTGCAGCTGCACGGCTGGCTTCCACGGGGCCAACTGCAAGCAGGACGTGAACGAATGCAACATCTCACCACCTGTCTGCAAGAACGGTGGCAGCTGCACCAACGAGGTGGGCACCTACCAGTGCTCCTGCAAGCCAGCCTACACCGGGCAGAACTGCGAGCATCTCTATGTGCCCTGCAACCCCTCACCCTGCCAGAATGGGGGCACGTGCCGTCAGACTGGGGACACCACCTACGACTGCACCTGTCTGCCAGGTAGGGGAGGTGTTGGGGTCGATTTGCTGCTCTTTTCTCCTTCGCTTTCCCCTCCCTGAGCCCACAGTGCTTCACGCATATCACCTCCTGGAGAGTGACAAAGCCAGGCGTTGCAGCACGCTGTGTTGGATGGCTCTGGGAAGATGTTGGGCAGCTGTGCTTTCAACAGGGAGGTCAGCTGGGGGCTTTTCATATGTGGTGATTCACCAAAATAGCTCTTCCAAAACAACTGTTTCAGCAGAGGCCCCTGTGCGGATGCTCATATTCCAGAATAAGAGTGCCTTTTTCCGCTTCAGCTTAATCCACTTCCAGACTGGAATTATTGTCCAGGAATAGCTATTTTAGAAAGTTTCCGAGTGCAGATGGGCTTGGGGCAGGGAGACCCTGCCCGTGCTCACTGCTGCTCCCTCTGGTGAGTGTGGGAGGAGCCTGCCTTGCAGGGCAGAGAAATGAAGGGCAGCCTCAAAAATGAAGGGTTCCTGCGGGAGCTCAGCATTGCCATGGGAACCCATTCTCCCTCCTGCCCCACCTATATGGAACATCCCTGTGCTGCCATCCCTCTGAGATGGGGATGGGCTGTCCCAGCTGGCAGAGATACGTCTGCATCCTGGTACCCATGTCCAGGTGCCCACATCCTAGTACCCTTATCTAGCTGCTTGCACGTCCAGGTGCCCGGATCCAGGCTTCCATATCTTGGGACCCAAATCCAGGTGTCCATATCTTGGGACCCAAAACGATGTGCCCACATCCAGGTACCCACATCGTGGTCACCATGGCCCTGTAGGAATTCCAGTTTCCTCTCTGCACCTGCTCACCCAGGCTGGAGCAGAGCTCTTACGCTACCAGCAGCACTGGGGCTGATACAGGGAAGGCAGCCTGGCCCTACAGAGCCAGCAGCTCCCACAGGCACTGCTCAGCAGGAGCAGCACTGCCGCAGGGTCGGGCAAGCTGAGGGTGGCAAGGAGCAGTGCTGGCCTGCCTGCTGCACTGCTGACACTGCACTTCTCCTGGCGTCGGGCACAGCGGGGTGAGGGATCGCCCTGGGGAGCATTGCTGCCGTGGGGGATCGGCGCTCATACCCCACTGCGGCTGGCGGCTGCTGCCAGGGAATTTGCATGCTGTGCTGGCCGGTTCGCCTCCCATGGGTGGCACAGCCCTACAGGAAGGCAGGGTTGGTCCTTGAGGGGGTCACTGGGGTTCTTTGGCAGCTGTGCTGTAGGGCACGGCTTGTGCGAGGGCTGCATTGGCTTCTGGCAGAGGCACAGGAACCGGGGCCGGTGCTGATGATAAGAGGGGTTGATACGCTGGTATGCAGCAAAAACAAAGTCCCCTGTTGTTTCCTGACTGCAGCGGGTTTCTGAAAGTTAAACTAAACTTGTCTGCTTTATCATGCCATCGCTGCAGAGTGTAACCCTGAGTTTAAAGTAATTGCAGTACTAATTACTCATTCGGAGGGTTCAAAATTACTCATTCAGAGTGTTAGTGCTAGTAGGCAGGACATTGCTGGTTATTGCTGCTCAGTCTCAGCCCAACTGCTTATAAATGAGGCACAGAATTACCTGCTCATCTGCTTTGGACTGGTGCTGGGGTTGGTGTGTGTCCTTCCCCGCATGGTCCCCATGTGGCAGTGCTCACAGGAGCACATCTTGCCCATCCCCACCACGGAGCAGCATCCCTGTGTTGGTGCCAAGCCCGGAGCAAGGACCAGTGGCCGTATCGGGGGTTGAGATGGCAGATATCCCAGTCAGAGCTGTTTCATTTCTGCTGCACATGCTGTGGGGTGAGGTCAGGTGCCGCGCGGTTTCCATGTGCGCCATGCTATCAGATGGAGGTGATAACATGAACTCGAGCAGCCGGGCTGCGCTGAGAGGAGAGCTGAGATTTACACCGTGCTATGATTCACGCTGCGAGAGGCTTGGAAACAAAGAATTCCCCTGTGGGGGAAGCACTGGCAATGAGGCTCTTTAAACGTGAAATTAAAGCGGGGTGATTCAGCGCCGGGTGCCGTGAGCGGCGGTGGCAGCAGCCCCGGTTCGTCCCATCTCCATCACAGCCTCCACTGCTCAGGGTGAGCGTGGCGGGGCCGGGGGCATTGGCACCCTGTGCAGAGGACGGGGCTGCTTGCCAGGCTTGGGAGATTGCTCCCTCCTGGGGTAATGTGCATGTCAGGAATCGGCTGGGGATGAAACCAGGCGCTAGCTTCAAAGGAGCGGGGCGGGGAGCGCCGGCGGGCTGTCTGCCTGCTAACAGCACCCAGCTGCGGGGATGGCGGAAGGAAGGCACCCCCCCGGTGCTGGGAGCCCTGCGGGGCTGTGGGGACGGTGGCACTGGGTGGGGACATGGTCACAGGGAGGTGATGCAGTGGCTGTTCCGTGCAGGGTTCGCCGGGCAGAACTGCGAGGAGAACATCGACGACTGTCCAGGGAACAACTGCAGAAATGGAGGCACCTGCGTGGATGGCGTCAACACCTATAACTGCCAGTGCCCGCCCGAGTGGACAGGTAGTGCTGGGGGACAGCGGGAGGACATGCTGGGGGACACGTCTTGCCCAGAGGATGCGTAGCTGGGTGGGGAGAGCATGGAGACGCCCATCTGGGCCCAAGGAATTGATGGTGCCCCATTCCCTCGCAGGTCAGTACTGCACCGAGGATGTGGATGAGTGCCAGCTGATGCCCAATGCCTGCCAGAACGGGGGCACCTGTCACAACAACCATGGTGGCTACAACTGCGTCTGTGTCAATGGCTGGACGGGCGAGGACTGCAGTGAGAACATCGATGACTGCGCCATGGCCGCCTGCTTCCAGGGGGCCACCTGCCACGACCGGGTGGCCTCCTTCTACTGCGAGTGTCCCCATGGGCGCACAGGTGAGGCCCCATTCCTGCACCACCTCGTGCTGGTTGCAGCTCTTCAGGTGTCCCCCTCCTTCCCCCGAGGTTTTCATGCATGGTGAGCTGCGTGCCCAGCATCGTGCTGTTCCCCACAGGTTTGCTGTGCCACCTGGATGATGCTTGCATCAGCAACCCCTGCAACGAGGGCTCCAACTGTGATACTAACCCTGTCAATGGCAAAGCCATCTGCACGTGTCCTTCGGGGTACATGGGGCCGGCATGCAACCAGGATGTGGATGAGTGTTCACTGGGTAAGTGTTGTGTCCTGGCACCAAGCAGTTTGTTCTGCACAGAAGGGAGAAGCGTCCTATAAGCAGCATTTATGTCTTGCAGGAGCCAACCCCTGTGAGCACGCAGGGAAATGCATCAACACCCAGGGGTCCTTCCAGTGCCAGTGTCTGCAGGGCTACTCAGGCCCCCGCTGTGAGATCGATGTCAATGAGTGTCTCTCCAACCCCTGCCAGAACGATGCCACCTGCCTGGACCAGATTGGGGAGTTCCAGTGCATCTGCATGCCTGGTGTGTGGGCACACCTGCCGTGATCTTGGGTGCAGGCAGGGAAGGCTAAATGTGCTCATGAGCATGGATGTGGGCTGGTGGCTATGAGAGGCTGCTGTGCCTGAGGCTAGCACCAAAAACCTGTGTGGTGATGGGTCTGGCAGTAGGGACCTGGGCACCACCAACCCTCCGCACTCTTCCTCTTACTGGCTTGGGATGTGAAATCCATGGTGGATGGTCACACAGGAGCTTGTGCATAAGGTCCCATCAGCTGGAGTGTGGCTATTGGGCTGTCCTCATAAAGGCCAAACACCTCCCTGGTGCCACCTGCCCATCCTGCCATGTTGCACGTTGGTCCCATGGTACCGAGCTGACAGGGTGCTGGGTCTGTCTGCAGGATACGAGGGCGTCTACTGTGAAATCAACACAGATGAGTGTGCCAGCAGCCCCTGCCTTCACAATGGCAACTGCCTGGATAAGATCAACGAGTTCCACTGCGAGTGTCCCACCGGTACGTGGGTCCCTTCTCTGCATCCCTTACGGCATCCCTGGTGCTGGGTACCTACCCAGGCAGTGCAGAGCCCCAAAAGTTGGCTCTATCCGTTGCAGAGCTTCAGCCCTGCAGCAGTGTGGGGTGCTCACAGCAAAACTGTGCCTTGGGTGGCATCCCCATATGTGCAGCAGGTTGGGCGCGGAGCAGGTTGGGGATTTTTTTGCCATTCCAGTGATGGGTTGAGCCCCATTGCTGCACCAGTCCATGGGAGAGGGGAAGGTGGATTAAAACTCTCGGCTTTGCACTTGAAAAGGCCCCTCTTTGGGAAGGAGGGCCAGGGCCGGGGGGCCTCGCCAGCCACTTTGAATGCTGTGTCAAAGTCACGGGGTGGAGCGGAGAATGGGGAGACGGTTAATCTGTGAAAGGAGGTTTTGAAGTTCAGAGACTTTGCTCCTCTAGAGATGTAAATAAGATGCTCTCAATGGCGGGTCGCAGCCCCGCATTCAGGGCCCCGCGCTGCCGTCCCCATGGAAACCCGGCGCCCCGGCTGGGATGTGGGGGGCCTGGCGGGACCTGTGGGCTGTGGGGAGGGGGTGCTGCAGCCATTGGCGGGGATGCAACGTCTGCTTGTTTCAGGGTTCAATGGGCACCTGTGCCAGTTCGACATCGATGAGTGCGCCAGCACCCCCTGCAAGAATGGGGCCAAGTGCGTGGATGGCCCCAACACCTACAGCTGCGAGTGCTCCGAAGGTGAGGCCCCCGTGTCCTTGAGGGGGCTTGGGCACATCTGAGCAGAATTGAGTCACCTTCTGCCACGTGAAGTGCCATAAAACCACATCAATGAGTTATTAGCAAGGGATGTGCCATTCTTCCCAAAACTCACCCCAGATACCCGCTTCCAGCCAGTCCTGTAATGAACCCGGTGCTAACGAGGTGTGGCCCCGGCAGCGATGGGGAAGGAAGGAAGGAAGGAATAAAGCTGCCTCTATGGGGATGCAAGGTGCAGGGCTGCGGGGGCTCGACGCACCGAAACCCAAGGAGCGATTGCACAGAATGATGACTTGAGCCCTGGTGGCAAACAGTGGCTCTTTTGTGGAGCAGCTCCCGCCAGAAATCTTCCAGCTGAATGGCCTCTAATTAGTGTCTTGCTAATGCCAAGCCCCGATGAAAAGCTGCTATGTGGGCTTGGCGGGGTCTAGTCAAAGCTATACTTTGTCTTCAGCTCTCCACCCCCAGCCCATTGGGGAGGGAGCTGGCCAGGAGAATAGGATCTGCTGGGGGGTGATTATTCGGGGGTGCATGCGGCCGCCCCCCCTGCACGCTCTGGGATGAGACACGGGTGAGCATGGGGCCCCACTCCTGAGCTGAGGCAGCTTAATGCAGATCATTGTGCACCCCGGGACAAAGCTTGCAAGCTGGGCACTGAAAGGCCCCGTGGCCTGGGGGCCTCCATTGCCCTGTGCCCTGCACTTGTGGGGCATCCTGCTGCATTGGTGTGACTGCTGGAGAGGATGGATGCTGCCATATGGGGAGGAACATCTCATGTCATGACCCTGCGTCCCTTATCATCACCCCAGTGTCCTCCATCCTCACGTCAGCACTGTCCATCTGCCCCCCAACGTGCTCCATCCTCACCGTGTGTCTCCAATGGCTCCAGGTTTCTCGGGTGTACACTGTGAGATCGACATTGATGAGTGCAACCCTGACCCGTGCCACTATGGGACCTGCAAGGACAGCATTGCCGCCTTCACCTGCCTCTGCCAGCCCGGCTACACGGGCCACCGCTGCGACATCAACATCAATGAGTGCCAGAGCCAACCCTGCAGAAACGGGGGGACCTGCCAGGACAGGGACAACGCCTACAATTGCCTGTGCCTCAAGGGGACCACGGGTAAGCAAGGGGAGCACTTGGGGCGGCGGTGCCAGCGAGGCACCCAGCCTTCCTGGGATGGTTTGATGCGCTGGGAGGGCACTGCCAGCAGCCGCCCTGGTTTTGGGGATAGCCTGGGGCAGGGGTGTCCTCGGCCAGGGCGAGTTTTCCCAGTTTAGCACCCGCACCCCAGCTGGAAGCTGTCTGTGGGGGAGGCTTTGTTGTGGTGCAGGAGCAGCGCCCGTGGGGTTTGTTGTGCATCATCAGCAGGGCCGGGGGCACCCTGCAAACACCCCCGCTTTCCTCCTCAAGGGCCCAACTGTGAGATCAACCTGGATGACTGCGCCAGCAACCCCTGTGACTATGGCAAGTGCATCGACAAGATCAACGGCTACGAGTGCACCTGTGAGCCGGGGTACACAGGTGAGAGTGGGGCATGGCGAGGTGAGGATTGGGGCACTGTGAGGGGCCAGGGGGCTGAGGTCTTGGGGAGGCTCTGCCCCTGCCTGGGCACCCGGCAGCGCTGCCACCCCATCCCAACACCTCCCACTTGTCTGAGCGGGCGATTCCAGCTGGAGTCAAAATCAAAGGCGTTCCAGTGCCGGGAATCTGACTCCCATTGCATCCACTCCCATGGGTATCGGGTTGCTGCCTTGTCTAACTGGTTTGTTTGATCAACTGCTGCAAAAAGCAAAGAGCTTTGATAGCAGCAGACCCCGCCGGCTCCCCGCTCGCGGCAGCGAGGGCTGCGGGGCCACGCGGCTCTTTGTGCTCCTGCTTGCCAGGAGCCTTCCATAAAGCCGTCCTTTGTCAGCCTCAGCAGGTAGGGTTACAGGCTGAAATTGGCTCCCTTCGATAGTGTCCCTCCTGAACCACAGGAGCCCACAGCGTGGCCCCCTTCTGACTGCAGTGATTTCCCCTCCTGATTGCACTGAATTTAGCCAGGAGTGCAAGGCAGCAGTGTGAACTCCCCTTACCCCAGAGGCGGCCTGGCACACGTGTGTGCCCAGAGACCTGAGCCTCCAGTATCTGAAGGAGTCTGCGTGTCCCCAGGAGGCCGTGCACCCTCAGTGCCGTGTCCCTGCTAGAACTGACACTTTGCTGCTCACCTCTTTCCCAGGGCGCATGTGCAACATCAACATCGATGAATGTGCCAGCAATCCGTGCCACAATGGGGGCACATGCAAGGATGGCATCAATGGCTTCACCTGCCTCTGCCCCGAGGGCTTCCATGACCCCAAGTGCCTGTCCGAAGTGAATGAGTGCAACAGCAACCCCTGCATCCACGGGAGGTGCCACGATGGGCTGAACGGGTAGGCTGGGGCACAGCACTGCTCACACCAGAGCACGGTCAGGTGGCACCAAAACCTCTGCTTTATGCTCTTGTTTTTCCCCGAAGTTACCGCTGTGATTGCGACCCGGGCTGGAGCGGCACAAATTGTGATATCAACAATAATGAGTGTGAATCCAATCCCTGCATGAATGGTGGCACCTGCAAGGACATGACCAGCGGTTACATCTGCACCTGCAGGGAAGGGTTCAGCGGTAAGGATGTGGCTGAGGACGCTGCCCTGTGCTAGGGGCTGGGTGGGAGCTCCAGGAGGATGTCCCCACTGACCAGAGGTGTCACTAGAGGCACAGTGGAGGTTCCTATGCCAGAAGGGAATTGAGGACCTTTGGCAGCCTGGGGTCCCATGGCTTGAGCTGACAGCAGGAGGTTCTCCATGCCCCTGACTCCATCCCACTTTGTTTTTAAAGCTCTATTTCCTTTTTTCTAACCCAGGACCCAACTGCCAGACCAATATCAATGAATGTGCTTCCAACCCGTGCCTGAACCAAGGCACGTGCATTGACGATGTGGCTGGCTACACCTGCAACTGCCTCCTGCCCTACACAGGTGAGGGGGCAGGAGCCCCTCAGCCCTCCTATAAGGCTGCAAACAGGTCCCTCTGCTCCTGGTCTTCCCCTACGCTTCCCCTATGTTGCAGCACAGCTGGAGGAAACTGAGAGGAGCACTGAAGACCAGCTGGTCAGAGCTTCCTCGTCTTCCTCCACTGGAGTGGGCAGAGGCACTGGGAACCCACCCCACCACGATGGGGACCTTGTTGGTTCTCCCACTGTGGTGCCCAAGGCTGGAAAAAGCAGTCTGAGGCCTCAGGGCCTGGTGATTCTGCTGAGCTAATTCCTGTTTGCCGTCCTCTCGCTTCCGCTCGCACAGAGCAGCAGCCAGAGCACAATAGCAGGAAGCCATGAGCTGTTTCCTGCCTTCGGCAGTGGTCATAGAAACCCCTGGGGGGAAGGGATGGGGATAGGGCAGGAGCGGAGGGGAAGGCTCTGGAAAATAGCAAAGGGCAGTTTGGGAGATACTGGCTGACAGGGAAGATAAGGGTTCGGAGGGAACGTGCCCCTTGGCTGGATGTAAACAGGAAGAGCAATGGAGTGGGGGGGGGGGGGGGGGTTGGAAGGGAAGACACCCTGAGCAGCACTTCCCTTCCAGAGGAAATGTGCAGCCCTTTAACGAGGCCCAGATTGCAGGCGTTTAAAGATCTGTGGGGGCCAGGGGTCATAGAGATGGAGGAAAGGGCTCTGGGTGGACGGCCCAGGCCCTGCAGAGGAAGCAGGCTGAGGGGCAGGTGGAGGCTGCGTGGTCACCATTTTCCCTTGAGAGGTGGTCAGTGGGCACCTGTCCCTGTGCAGGAGCCACCTGTGAGGACGTGCTGGCCCCCTGCGCCGGCGGCCCCTGCAAGAACGGCGGCGAGTGCCGGGAGTCGGAGGACTACAAGAGGTTCTCGTGCAGCTGCCCACCCGGCTGGCAAGGTGAGCCTGCTCTGCCAGGCAGGCCCAGGGCACAGCAACTAGCCCTGGTGCTTCTGCCGGTGCCCCCCAGCTCACACGGTCCCCATCCTGCTGTCCCGTAGGCCAGACGTGCGAGATTGACATCAATGAGTGTGTGAAGAGCCCCTGCCGCAATGGGGCCACGTGCCAGAACACCAACGGGAGCTACCGCTGCCTGTGCCGGCTGGGCTTCGCAGGCCGCAACTGTGACACCGACATCGATGACTGCCAGCCCAGTAAGAGCCAGGGACACCCAGGGCTGTGTGTGTTCCCCAGGTCCCCGGGGCTGGACCAGCCTCCCCGTGCTCAGAAAGCTGTGTCTGTGTGTGGGTCCAGGCTTGTATTGGGCTTTGGGAATGTCTCGGCCCCATCCCCGCGAGGCTGCGTCAATCTAGGCCAGGTGGTGGCTGGCAGGAAGGAGGCTGGGGGGGGACGGTGACGTGCAGGCAATGAGCAAGTGTGTCCCGTGTGCCTCATGCTTTCCCAGCTGGGGCTGGGCTGGCCTCTGTCCCATCCCTCTGTGTGTGGGGATAACACCGGGATTGGACACGTTGCACCTAATGCACGCATGCCCCATGTCCAGATCCGTGCCACAATGGTGGCTCCTGCTCGGATGGCGTCGGGACATTCTTCTGCGAGTGCCTGGCCGGCTTCCGCGGGCTCAAGTGTGAGGAGGACATCAATGAGTGTGCCAGCAACCCCTGCAAGAACGGGGCCAACTGCACCGACTGTGTCAACAGCTACACCTGCACCTGCCCCTCCGGCTTCAGCGGCATCCACTGCGAGAACAACACGCCCGACTGCACTGAGAGGTACTGCCAGCGTGGGGCTGGGGTCCCTGGGTGGGTTTAGAGGGGTTTCGGGACTGGCGTCCAGTACCGAGAGTGTCAGCCATGGGGGTGACTCATGAGGATGTGGTGTTTGTGCTCCCAGCTCCTGCTTCAATGGGGGGACCTGCGTGGATGGCATCAACACCTTCACCTGTCTCTGTCCATCCGGCTTCACGGGCAGCTACTGTGAGCACAACATCAACGAGTGTGATTCCAAGCCCTGCCTGAATGGTGGCACGTGTCAGGACAGCTACGGGACGTACAAGTGCACCTGTCCTCAGGGATACACTGGGCTCAACTGCCAGGTAGTGAGAAGATTCCAGGGGTCCCTGTATGCAGGGATGGGGCTTCATCCTACAGAAGCTTCTCTGGGCCTGACCTCCTCCCTTGCTTTCCCTGCACAGAACTTGGTGCGCTGGTGTGACTCCTCACCCTGCAAAAATGGGGGCAAGTGCTGGCAGACCAACAACCTGTACCGCTGTGAGTGCAACAGCGGCTGGACGGGGCTCTACTGTGATGTCCCCAGCGTCTCCTGCGAGGTGGCTGCAAAGCAGCAAGGTACATCCCTGCCATCGTATACCCTGCGCACGGCCTGGGCTTCCCCAGATTTCCCAAGGATTGCTGTCACCATTTTGGGATGCGCCGTTTCCCTGGGTGTCCCTGATGTCCCCACATCTCACTGCTCTCCCTGGCAGGTATCGACGTCGCTCATCTCTGCAGGAACTCAGGGCTCTGTGTGGACAGTGGCAACACTCACTTCTGCCGCTGCCAGGCCGGCTACACGGGCAGCTACTGCGAGGAGCAAGTGGACGAGTGCTCCCCAAACCCCTGCCAGAACGGAGCCACCTGCACGGACTACCTGGGGGGCTATTCCTGTGAGGTGGGAGCTGCTCTCTTGTGTTGGGCTCTTCCTGGGAGTTGCGGTAACTCGGGTGGATCGGGAGTAGATCAGGTGTTTGTGTGTCCTGTGCGCTCTGCAGCAACTGGGTGAAGGTCTCTGACAGCTCTCCTCTCCTCACAGTGCGTGGCTGGTTATCATGGAGTTAACTGCTCGGAGGAGATCAATGAGTGCTTGTCCCACCCATGCCAGAATGGAGGAACCTGTATCGATCTCATCAATACCTACAAATGCTCCTGCCCCAGAGGAACTCAAGGTAAATTAATTCCCCAGGCTGGGGCATTAGTGGGTGGAATGCAGATATCCTTGGTATCTGCTCATTAGCTGCTCGGGCTTGCAGAAGCAAATGCAGCAATAGAGGATTGCGTTGCTGGCGGGCTCAGCCATCAAGGCCACGCGGCCTTGGGCACGAGCTGCATGGGCTGCGTGCTTCCCGCTGAGCGGTGGCTCAGACTGCCATTGAGTTGGTCAGGCTCAGCCCCTTCGCAGGGAAGGTTCGCACGAGGGACCTCTAAGCCCCAAGATACTGTTTGATGAGCTGTGTGGGTTGTTCCCCCATTTCTCTAGGGGTGCACTGTGAGATCAATGTGGATGACTGCAGCCCTTTCTTTGATCCTGTCACCTTGGGGCCCAAGTGCTTTAACAATGGCAAGTGCACGGATCGGGTAGGTGGCTACAGCTGCATCTGCCCCCCTGGCTTTGTAGGGGAGCGCTGCGAGGGAGACGTCAACGAGTGCCTCTCCAACCCCTGCGACGCGCGCGGCACCCAGAACTGCGTGCAGCGGGTCAATGACTACAAATGCGAGTGTCGGCCCGGCTACGCAGGTGAGCACCGCTGCCTGCAGAGCACCCCGAGCACCTCGTGTGCCCTGCTTCGCTCCTCACACCTTCCTGTCCCTCTGCAGGGCGCCGCTGTGACACTGTGGTGGATGGCTGCAAGGGCAAACCTTGCAGGAATGGGGGAACGTGCGCTGTGGCCAGCAACACCGGCCGTGGCTTCATCTGCAAGTGCCCTCCGGTAAGTTCCCACCGTGCTCCTGCTTTGAACGTGGGGAAATCAGCCCCTTCTGTTGGGAGGAGAATCCATGCGTCCAAGCTTTCCTCACCTGCTGAGGCAGGGAGGAGCAGCGCTGCCGGTGTGACACCTGGCTCTGTGGGGCAGGCTCCTTTCTGCCTGGTGGATGAAGGTTTGTGCCATGTAAAGGTGGGACAGGCAGAGATGGTGAAGAGTTCCCTTTGTTTTCAGGGGGATGCTCTAATGGGGTTTGTGCCGTAGGTGATTTTGCCCATCACTAGTTTTAGAGGTGGCACCACAGCCGTGCCCTTAGATCTGGTTCGCCACATTTGGGCTGAGTTTCCCAGCACACACTGTGCATCAGGACATGGGTCTTAGTGACTGACCTCTCCTTGCTGTCCCCTCCCCAGGGTTTTGTGGGTGCCACCTGCGAGAACGACTCCCACACCTGCGGGACCCTGCACTGCCTGAATGGTGGCACCTGCATCTCCATGCACAAGAGCTCCAAGTGCGTGTGTGCAGCAGCCTTCACGGGCCCGGAGTGCCAATACCCGGCCAGCAGCCCCTGCATCTCCAACCCCTGCTACAACGGGGGCACCTGCGAGTTCCTCAGCGATGCCTCCCCTTACTACCACTGCAACTGCCCCGCCAACTTCAACGGCCTCAACTGCCACATCCTCGACTTCGATTTCCCAGGCGGCTTCGGGCAGGACATCATCCCACCCAAAATTGAGGAGAAGTGTGAGATCGCCGTTTGCGCGAGCTATGCCGGCAATAAGATCTGCGATGGGAAGTGCAACAACCATGCCTGCGGCTGGGATGGCGGTGACTGCTCGCTCAATTTCAATGACCCCTGGAAGAACTGCTCGCAGTCGCTGCAGTGCTGGAAGTACTTCAACGATGGCAAGTGTGACTCGCAGTGCAACAACGCGGGCTGCCTGTATGATGGGTTTGACTGCCAGAAGTACGAGGGGCAGTGCAAGTAAGTGGCTTGTTGGTCCTCTTGCTTTGAAGCCGTGAGCGCTGCGGTCTTCTGGCTGTGCCTTCATATTCCTCTCCTGCACGTAGGGCTGCATCTCAAGTCCCCATAGCTCCCCCTGGTCCTACAGAGTTCTGTGCACACTTGGTAGCTCTCAGTTTGGCTTTGCTGCCCTGACCTCATCGTGCCACGAATGTGAATTTTGCAACCAGCAGGAGTGGCACAGTGAGGTTCAGTGTAGGGAAGACCAAGCAGGAAGCGTGATGATGTGAGCATCCAGGCACATGGCAAGCATTGTCTTTGACAACAGCAGGGACTTGCTCCCAGATTCCTGGACAAATTCTAATCTGAGTAACTATGTTGTGTCCTCGTGTCTTGTCTGAGTCTCAGCAATTTGTCCATTGCATCTGATATGTGACTTGTAGCCCACAGCACTTTTCCCTGTTCTCTGTCATCTAGACTGTGTCTTATGACACAACAGCTGCTATCTTTCACCCCTCAGATGAGCACTTGCAGTGCTGCATGGCACAATTGCCTTCCATGTCAACTGGTCCCATATCCATTAAGATACATAATATTTACACAAAAGAGAGCTCATTGGGAAGCGCAAACTATTTCCTTAGCAATCACCATAGAATCATAAAATCATTAAAGCTTGACTTCTAAGATCATCTAGTCCAACCGTTGACCCGTAGCACACACAGTGCCTGCTCTAATTCATTCCTTTGTCTTTCTTCCCTTCTGCCCAGCCCCCTGTACGACCAGTACTGTAAGGACCACTTCTCAGATGGTCACTGTGACCAGGGCTGCAATAACTTTGAGTGTGAGTGGGACGGGCTGGACTGTGCAAACAACATGCCTGAGAAGCTGGCGGACGGCACGCTGGTGGTGGTGGTGCTCATCACCCCCGAGAACCTGAAGAACAATTCCTTCAACTTCCTGAGGGAGCTGAGCCGCGTGCTGCACACCAATGTGGTCTTCAAGAAGAATGCCAAGGGAGAGTACATGATCTTCCCTTACTACGGCAACGAGGAGGAGCTGAAAAAGCACTACATCAAGAGGTCAACGGAGGACTGGGCAGATATGTCCAGTGCTGTCATCAACAAAGTGAAGAGCAGCTTCTACTCGAGGGCTGGCAGGAGGCAGAAGAGAGAGCTGGATCAGATGGACATCAGAGGGTAAGGGGACCGGTGGGTGCCTCTGTCACGGAGCAGGGTTGGTTTTGTGCATTGATAATAATGGCATAGAATCACATAGAATCACAGAATCATTAAGACTGGGACAGCCCTCTCAGATCCCCAACCCCAATCTGTCCCACCGTGTCCCCTGACCACAGCCCTCAGTGCCACATCTCCACAGTTTTGGAGCACCTTCAGGGATGGTGACTGCCCCACTTCCCTGGGCAGCTGTGCCAATGCATTACTGCACTTTTGGAGAAGAAATCTTTCCTAATACCCAACCTGAACCTCTGCACGGTGCTGTGGGCCTCCCGCACTGGATGTTGTGGGGTTGAGGGGCTGGCCCAGCTGATGTCTGCTCACAGGAAGGCGTTGGGCTAAGCCTCAGGTTCTCCCTGGGAAATGCTTTGTTGTAAAACTCAATCGCTGCAGACTGTGTTTGGAGCTCTTTTGTATAAACATATAGATCTGACCTTCCCTCTCTGTGGACTTAATCAAAAGTCAACGAAACCAAAGGAGTTTGAGCAGTGAAACTGATGTGAAAGATCTTGTGGCTCCCAAACAGCCTTATTTACGATGTTGTAGTGTCTGGGTAATTTCAGAGCATGGTGCAGCAGGTTCCCTCGCATTCCTGTAGATAAGGAGTTAGGCTTTGCAGTGTTTGTGGAGGCAGATCCAATTGACCATCAGTGTGAGCCCAGGGCTCGAGCCACGGGGAAGAGACGAGATGGACTCACTGCTGCTGCTGCCCACTGCCCTGCATGGTGATTGATGGCGGCCCCTCATCTCCCATTGACTCTTCTCTCACAGGTCCATCGTCTACTTGGAAATTGACAACCGGCAGTGCATCCAGTCGTCCTCCCAGTGCTTCCAGAGTGCAACTGATGTGGCAGCCTTCCTGGGGGCCTTGGCCTCCCTGGGCAACCTGAACATTCCCTACAAAATAGAGGCCGTCAAGAGTAAGTGCAGCTGATGAGAGCCTGAAACTTCCCCACCTCATCCGTGCTCAGTTATCGGTCTGCTGGCTCAGGTGCCACATTTGAGCGCAATCTGGTTTTCATAATTAATGCATCTTTTTATTCCTTTAAGTCTGTTTTTAAAAACAACACCAAAAATGCTTATGATTTTTGCTTATTCCAGGTTTATTTCAAAATCATTATCACTATAAAAGTTAAAAAAAAAAAAAAAAAAAAAAAAGCCCACGCAGCCCAACCAGCTCCAATCAATCAGTGACATGCAAGGAGTTGAAGTTTGCATCTTGAAAATCCCCCCTAAATCCTTTTGTCTTAACAGCTCAATGCAAGCGCAGTGATTTGAAGTTTGCTAATCCTTTTCCTTAAAGGAGAAAAAAGTAAAGCTGTCTCCTGATGCAGGCTGCCTTGCGCAGCGGAGAATTTGCCGATAGTTTGCAATTCTGATTAATAGCGTATAAAATGACCTTATTTTGGGAGGGGGCTGATTTAGATCAGCCTCGGGTCCCTTTATTAACTAATTTTGCTTCATTTCCACTCTGTCACTCGTTTGCTATGCAGCTTCATGTCTCAGCATCTCTCTGTGCCCCATTGCTTTGCAGGTGAAACGGCGGAGCCCGCGAGGAACTCCCAGCTGTATCCTATGTATGTGGTGGTGGCTGCACTGGTCTTGCTCGCTTTCATTGGAGTGGGAGTGCTGGTGTCCCGCAAGCGGCGCAGGGAGCATGGCCAGCTCTGGTTCCCAGAGGGCTTCAAAGTGACAGAGTCAAGCAAGAAGAAGCGCCGAGAGCCGCTTGGGGAAGATTCTGTTGGACTGAAGTGAGTAACGGGTTTGTTATCTGCCAGGCACAGCAGAGTGGGGCTGTTTGGAGGCTCTTCTGAACCGTCCCATTGGTTTTGTTCTCTAGGGCATTGTGGTGGGGTGGTGGGGAGGAGAAAAGTGGGGTTTTGTATTGTTCTGCGTTGGGAAAACCACACTTCAGTTTGGAGGAGGTTTTTTAATGCTTCCTGGTCCGTTGGCTCTTGGGAGAGTATGAAAGGCACCTTGAGGGGAATGTCCTGAAAATTAGCCTCGTTGGTTCTTCTGTGCAAGTTTAAAGCACAGCCCATCACAGACCTGTCCCTGCAGAGGAACTAATTCTTGGCATGGTTTTATTTTCAAAGACCCCTCAAAAATGCCTCTGACGGCACGCTGATGGACGACAACCAAAATGAGTGGGGTGACGAGGAGACCCTGGACACCAAGAAGTTCAGGGTAAGCTGCTTGCAGGATTCCCTTTCTGCGCTGCAGCAGCTGCTCTCTGGGCTGTGGCAGGGAAAGAACAGAGCTCCATGGAAAGCAGCACACAAGATGTCCCTTGGGACTTCCCAAGGCCGTTTTCTAAACCTGCTTGCAATGCAAACACACCTGTGCAGCTTGCAGAACTTCCCACCTTGCAGCTCAGCTCAGCTCCCCCATCCCACACTGAGCATTTGTTGTTGTCCCTCAGTTCGAGGAGCAAGCGATGCTGCCTGATACAGATGACCAGACAGACCACAGGCAGTGGACTCAGCAGCACCTGGATGCTGCCGACCTCCGCATCTCCTCCATGGCCCCAACCCCACCGCAGGGCGAGATCGATGCAGACTGCATGGATGTCAACGTGCGAGGTCCAGGTAAGGCTCTCTGCCTTCTCTTTTTGGCTCTTCTCAAATCCTCACTGCCTGCAGATGGGCAGTCCCACAGCTCCCATCTCCGTTTTTAACGTGCTGTCCCTGCCCTCTCAGCCACATGTCGCAGTTACCGCTCACCCCTCTGCATGGCACAGTTGCTGTTCTGCATGAGACACTGCCAAATTCTATTTTCAGCAAGATCTCTTTATTTAATCGTGGAGAGGGAAATCAGAGGATACAGGAGAACTATTAAGTCATTCCACTTCTCCCCTGCCCTTGGGTTGGAAGGGGCCTTAGAGATCATCCACTTCCGAATGCACATTTCATGATCTTCTTTCCAAGCTTTTGGCTGTGTTAATAATTAGTAGACACTTAAACTGTTTCAAATATTTGGTCTTCCCCATCTCTCTGAAACCATCTGCTGAAATGATGAAAATAGCTAAGGCTGTGCTGTACCACACTGAAGTCTGTGCTGAGCAACCCTCCGTATTGATCACACCTTGCATGTCAGTGTGCCAGCTAGGAGACAGCAGGAAAACCAGAGAGTGCTGAGATAGCCACAGAGGAATTTCACATCCATATCAGAGGAAGGATATTCGTGTTTGATGTGCAGAAGCAGTCAGGAACTCAGTCTGTGTGCACCCACAGGAATAAGCATCTATTGCAGACAGAGCATCTCGCTGAGCCGCCGTGTTACAGGAAGGCAGCGAGCCTTTTCTCACCGATTTCCCCCATGCTTTTCAGATGGTTTCACGCCCCTCATGATCGCCTCGTGCAGCGGAGGAGGGCTGGAGACTGGTAACAGCGAGGAGGAGGACGATGCTCCTGCAGTCATCTCAGATTTCATCTACCAGGGCGCCAGTTTGCACAACCAGACCGACCGCACTGGCGAGACCGCGCTGCACCTGGCTGCCCGCTACTCGCGCTCCGACGCTGCCAAACGCCTGCTGGAGGCCAGTGCTGATGCAAATATTCAGGATAACATGGGCAGGACCCCTCTGCACGCCGCCGTCTCTGCCGATGCCCAAGGAGTCTTCCAGGTAATGGGTCCTTGCACCGCTGTTTTTCTGCAGAAAGCATTTGGTCCCGCGTGTTGGGTCAGCGGTGCAGGTTGGATGGGACCCTGGGCAGCTTCATCCGGTGGATGGCAACCAACCCACAGCAGGGCTTGGGGCTGGATGGGCTTTGATGTCCCTTCCAACCCAACCCAACCATTATGGTTCTGTGACACACTCCAGGAGGGGCTTGCAAGCTCTGTGCATCTCTGAGGTCTGTCCCACCTAACGTTTATGCTTCCTCTGGCTGGGGCAGATCCTGATAAGGAACAGGGCGACTGATCTCGATGCCCGAATGCACGACGGGACGACCCCACTGATCCTTGCTGCTCGCTTGGCTGTGGAGGGGATGCTGGAGGACCTCATCAACTGCCATGCAGATGTCAACGCTGTGGATGATCTGGGTACAGTGGGAGGCTAAAGAAGAAGAGAGCTGCTTTATTAGTCCCCTTCCCACTCACTAATTCTTGCTGTTTCCTGGCCTTCTCCTGTAGGCAAGTCAGCACTGCACTGGGCAGCTGCTGTGAACAATGTTGAAGCCGCAGTCGTCCTCTTGAAGAACGGTGCCAATAAGGATATGCAGAACAATAAGGTAGGGTCTTTGGGGCTGACCAGTGGGCAGGGAAAGAAGTATTTGGGCACTACGTTAAAGGGCAGTGTGAGCTTGTAATACAACACTGCCTGGCGCTGAGACTGTTGTTCTGCTGTGACTCCAGGTGTGGGGTTTGGTGTTAAGGGTTACGCCGTATGCAGTGCTTGGTAATGGGTACAGTGTGGTGTTACCTGGAAGATGAGTGAGTATGGACCTAACCACGTCTGGGTTTCTAGGAGGAGACCCCGCTGTTCCTCGCCGCCAGAGAAGGGAGCTACGAAACAGCCAAGGTCCTGTTGGACCACTTTGCGAACCGCGACATCACGGACCACATGGACCGGCTGCCGCGGGACATCGCGCAGGAGCGCATGCACCACGACATCGTGCGCCTGCTGGATGAGTACAACCTGGTGCGGAGCCCTCCGCTGCACAGCGGCCCACTCGGGGCCCCCACGTTGTCCCCCCCGCTCTGCTCCCCCAGCAGTTACATCGGCAACCTGAAGCCGGCCGTGCAGGGCAAGAAAGCCAGAAAGCCGAGCACCAAGGGCCTGAGCTGCAACGGCAAGGATTCCAAAGACCTGAAAGCCCGGAGGAAAAAATCACAAGATGGAAAAGGCTGTCTGCTCGACAACTCCAGCGTGCTGTCCCCAGTGGACTCCCTGGAGTCACCCCATGGGTACCTGTCCGACGTCGCCTCCCCTCCGCTGATGACGTCTCCGTTCCAGCAGTCCCCTTCCATGCCGCTGAACCACCTGCCGGGCATGCCCGACGCCCACATGAGCATCAACCACCTCAACATGGCAGGGAAGCAGGAGATGACCCTGGGCGGCTCTGGCAGGATGGCCTTCGAGGCGGTGCCGCCGCGCCTCTCGCATCTCCCCGTCTCCAGCCCCAGCACGGCCATGAGCAACGCCCCGATGAGTTTCTCTGTCGGCGGAGCCGCTGGCCTGAGCGGGCAGTGCGACTGGCTGAGCCGGCTGCAGAGCGGCATGGTGCAGAACCAGTACAGCGCCATGCGGGGCGGCATGCAGCCGGGCACGCACCAGCAGGCGCAGAACCTGCAGCACGGCATGATGAGCTCCCTGCACAACGGGCTGCCCAGCACCAGCCTGTCGCAGATGATGAGCTACCAGGCCATGCCCAGCACCCGGCTGGCCTCCCAGCCCCACCTGCTGCAGAACCAGCAGATGCAGCAGATGCAGCAGCCCGGCATGCAGCAGCCCAGCATGCAGCCGCAGCCCGGCATGCAGCAGCCCCAGCAGCAGCCCCAGCAGCAGCCTCAGCCGCAGCAGCACCACAACCCCGGCTCCAATGCCAGCAGCCACATGGGCCAAAATTTCCTCGGTACTGAGCTGAGCCAGCCCGACATGCAGCCGGTGAGCAGCAGCGCCATGGCAGTGCACACCATCCTGCCCCAAGATTCGCAGCTGCTTCCCACCTCTCTGCCGTCCTCCCTCGCGCAGCCCATGACCACCACGCAGTTCCTGACCCCCCCTTCCCAGCACAGCTATTCCTCCCCGTTGGACAACACCCCCAGCCACCAGCTCCAGGTGCCCGACCACCCCTTCCTCACTCCCTCTCCTGAGTCTCCAGACCAGTGGTCGAGCTCCTCGCCCCACTCCAATGTGTCCGACTGGTCCGAGGGCATCTCCAGCCCCCCCACCAGCATGCAGTCGCAGATGGGACACATCCCCGAGGCCTTCAAGTGAGACCCAGTGGGGCTCAGGGACTGCAGCCTGAGAGACGGCTCTTGTTGTTAAACAGGACGCTGGATGCTTTTATTAAAGGATCCTTTTTTTTTTAAATATGTTTTTATACAAAAGTGAAAAAAAAAAAAAAAAAAAAAAAAAATAAATTTCCTTTTTTTTTTTTTTTTTTTAGTATTTATTTATGTACTTTTTATTTTACACGAGAACACTGCCTTTTTTTTTATTTATATGTTCTATTGTTAAGAACTCAATGTGAGACACCAGTTGTGTTTCGAGGAATCGTAAAGATGAGGTTTTTATGGGACATTCTCTTTTGTTCGGGGGTTCGTTGTGCTGATTTGAGAGGAGATGTTTATGTAAAGCTATAAGCGACCATTCAGGATTCTGCAATGCCATTAATTTATTTTTTTTTGTTTTCTCTTTCAATTCGGAAAGAGATGTGAGAAAGAAAAGAGGAAGAAAAAAATTGACTAAAAATGCCACTCCATAGGGAAATAAATTCAGTATGGGTGGGTTCTTGAAATGTACTTTAAAATGTTTCCTTTGCTGTTCTATCTGAGAGGACATTTTATGGTACCGGTCCTTGTTTAAATTTCAGTATTATAGAGTTGTATATTTGCCTCAATAATAGGAATTTTTGTTCTCTCTCGTTTTTATATATATATAAATATATATTTAAATGATTTTTATGATTAAAAAAAAAAAATAAATCACGTTTATAGACCTGTAAGGACAGGTTCTGAGATAAAACAAACCAACAGCCACCCTACAGCCCAAGAAGAGCATCTGCCACACTTCCTGAGAGGGCAAACCCATAAGGAGGGGTATGCACCAAACCCACAGCTGTGGAGCTCATACACAAAGGAGACTGAACTTTTACTTTGAATACCTTTCCTCTTGTTTTAGTTGCTGGTTGTTTTTTTTTGTGTGTGTGTGTGTTTGCATTTGAGTAACTGTTGAACAAAAAAAAAAAAGAAGAAACGCCGATGTAAACTTGTAAACCACATCCTTATTTTAAGGATGGCTGCCTATGGTAGAGGGAATGTCTGAAGGCAGACAGCCCGAGGGGTGAGGAAGCCCTGCAGCCACTGGGCTGAGCTGGGGCAGCACAGCCTGGCTGCGCTCGGAGCCGCTGACGTTTCGTTCCTGGGAGTCTGGAGTGCTGCATCTTTTTTTGTATTGATGTTCACTCGTTCTGTGTATCCTGTGTAAAATATAGTATAAGCCTGTGGCAGATTTAATGTTTGTAAATACGTATTTTTGTTGTTGTTGTTGTTTTGTTTTTAAAAAGAAGGTGGATTTTGTTTCAAAAATCTAAATGAGCAAGTCTTAAATATATCAGAAATATATCACCTTGTAGAGGTGTTGGGATCTCACTCGCTCGGGTGCAAAGCCCTGTGACTAGAGCTATGGGACAGGCAGATAGAGCGCAGCTAATCCACAAAGCCTAAGAAAAAGGTTCTTCTTCCTCATTCCTTTCTATTAGAACACCAAATAAAATGGATTTCTCAAAGCACAGAGCTTTGAGCACTCATCTTAGTGAACATTTCAGGCCGTTGTTGTTGTGACATCCCTAAAATGAGTGATAAAAACATCACGTGGTGTTGAATCTTCCTATGTTTTATAAACTAGAGTGTAGTTTAAGAAAAGATATCTTCTGTAATAAAGTTATCTACATGCAAAGTTGTAGTTTGCAAAAATGATGTATTTTTTTTTGGTTAACTGATTTGCAATAAATGATGCTTCTGGGCATCTAGATTTTACTAAAACTGGAACTTGGTGCTTTTGTTGTGGATTGACTGCAATCTGGGCTGGATGCCCACTTGGCTTTCCATGCTGCAGGGCTGTCCTCTGGTCAGTGACGCTTTCTCCTTATCAAAACCCCCAGGTGTGAGCAGTGCACTCAGCCTCCTGCTGTCCTCCTGTGCTCTGGGTGTCACAGCCTCCCGTGCTGCCTCTGCTGGCAGGATGGAACCCAGGAGGGGTAAAATGTGCTTTGCAATCTGCCATGTGCATTCCAAACCTATCACTAGCGGGAGATTTCTAGGAGAACACTCGTGGCTGAGGAGGCAGCCAAGGGTAAAGCACAGCTGCATGCTTTTAATTATTTGGGGTCTGTAGAAGCAGCCCTCCACAGGTGGTGACAAGAATTATGTGCAATGCTTCCTGCTTCATACACTGCTAAGCAAATGGCAGCTCTGGCCCTCAGATGTGGTCTCTTACAAGGATACAGACAGAAAGGCATCTGAAGGCGCTGCCGAGGTCCACAGAGCTCCATGCCCTGCACCCACCATGCAGTGACATTCGCTGAACTCGGATCTGTAAGGTAATTTATTTCAATTCTTTCTCTTCCCACAGGGACTCCGTATTCGACATGCAACTGCGCACTCCTAAATATGCTGATATAAATAGCCACGCTCTGGACCTCCTCCCTGCAGTAGATAAGCTCAGTACCTCCTGGAATGCTGCTATTTTCCATTCAGGCATGGAGCTGGCATGTGTGTGCATGTCTCGGGTGCCCGGCCCTCAGACATTGCTATACGTCCGGTCAGCAGCTGCAGCAATGCACTTTTTGCACTCTGCCAGACTCCAGAAGCTGCACAGCTGCTGTAGCAAGTGCTCGTGCTGCCAGCATCCGTCCTTATCGCTCAGTGCAAGCTTAAGTGAGCCATCCTCTTGGCTTTTTTGCTGGTCTCAGACACCCCACATCACGTCGTACATGATCCAGCACCACTCAATCTTGGATTGAAGGGAGGGAATTTGTCAGCCTCCATCATGACTTACGCATGTGCTGTCCATGAATCACGTCTGGGAGCACCCAGCCCTGTTTCCATGCAGCCCATCCCTCCTGGCTTCTCCCACACGTACCCACCCCACAGCTCGTGCCTGTGGCCATAAGCATGGCATGCCTTAGGGTCTGGAGCACATCTGTGCCAATGGGAGCCATTAGCAAGACTTTTTCCTGCTCCTTTCTGGCCTAGCGTGTAACACTCCAGTCCACTTGTGGTCAAGGCAGGAATTTGGCCTGAACAGGTACAAAAAGGGCTGTGAGGATTTGTAAAACATGACACTGTAAGTGACAACTAAACATGTGGCTCAGGTTCAGAAGCTGGGGTGCACAAAGCCTGCAATTTCACCCAGATCCATGAGGGTACATCAGGAATACAGCATGGAATAAGGCTGAATGCTGAGGAAGGGCAAAATCAGGGAATCATTAAGGCTGGAAAAGACTGATAAGATCAGGTCCAACCATCAACCCTTCACCACTGTGCCCATTGGAACGTAGCTATTTGTCCCACAGCACCCCAAAACTGAAAAGAACTGGCGTGTGAATACATACTAATAAACTGGCCATAAATGAATACAAATTAAAAGTCACAGAAGGCTTTCAACAGATAAAGTGTCTCTCCCTCCACACTTTCCCACAGACTCTGTGCAGAAGGCTTTGCCTTCCTCCAGCCCCCTCCACCCAACTCGTGTTGTCCAACCACAGCCCCAAATCCTCTCACCACCACAGATGCTGGGAGCTGAATTTCAAGCCCTTTTGCCAACAGAAAGTGCCAGGGGATGGGTGGGTCGTGGCAGGCATAGTTGCTTTAGGATTCCAGATGGAAAAGGCTGAGAAGCACTAAGATCCAGGCTGGATGTGGCTCTGCACAGCCTGGTCTGGTGGTTGGCGACCCTGCCTGGGGGGAGTTGAAACGAGATGATCTTTGAAGTCCTTTTCATCCCAGGCCATTCTACGATTCTATGATCACATTCCACACTATAGAAGAGTTCAGAAGTCTCAGTGAAAAAGATCACCTCCAAGCTGTCCCGATGGTATGCATGTTGGTGCTCTGAGGAATAGGTGCATCTGAACTATTTGTTTACGTGCTGGAGGGCAGGGTTTTTTAATTATCTTTTGTTTTCATTATTCCTACTCAATTAGACATTTAGAAATCGCTACTCTGTATTGTGTTTACCTCCGGGCTGTCTGTCGGTGTTTGCTCAGGAGGTTGCTAACAGCTGCTTGAGCCCTGATTGCTGAATTGCAGCTCCAATCAACCCCTCAAGAATGCAAGAAAGAGCCAAACTCATCACAGGTGTAGCCTCTCTGGAATGACACATCAGTTAACATGGACGGAGTAAAGCAGATCAGAAAGCTTCCAAAGGGATTGGGCGCCTCAATGTGACAATTCTTTATAACCACGTAATTAACAGGAGAAAAGAAAAGGTGAGATGCCATCGTTGGTGTTTGAACTGAATGTGTGAGCTTAAGAGGGTTAGATATATAAATATGTAGCTGCAGAATGAGCTGTTGGTGCTATTTACGGCATGCATATGTGTGTTTTAAAAGCCAATCAGACTAATTAGAATCACGTTTCCTCAGATTACACCTGTTGGAGAAAATATCAAGGGGACAGCAGGGCTTTATCTGCCCTCCGTGCCCATGGAGGGAAGTGGTGTTTGACGAGCTGCTTTATGGAACTCCCTACAAAAGAGGGAGATGAAAGGCACTGCAGCCAGCGCTCCTCTGGTTCCCACAGCAGCATCAAAGTGCTGCTTTGAGGATATTACCCTGCCTTAATGACCAGGCGTGCTGGAACACCTCCTGCACTGATAATGACCCCTGATTAAGATGTTTGTTTAGGTCAGTCGTGTTTTCCCCTCCTGTTGTTCTGCGACAGCACTGAACAGAGTGGCCGCTGCTGCTGCGTGCAAACTCTGGCAGATGGGAGACTCTGCTCTCCGTCAGAACAACGAGCCTTCCTAAAAGCTCTGCGTTCCCGTGGGACAGCCCCTGGAACACAGAGCAGGAGGGAACGGCATCTTCAGACCTGCAGAGCTGTTTGATATTACGCTACCGCCTGAATACATCGCGGAGGGATCGATGTGCGCACACCGAGCTGCGGCACCTGCCAAATTCTGCGCTCCCTACGTGACGAAAACCACGCGATGAATCTCCCTCACAAACCAGCCCTGAGAGGCCGGGACTTCGGAGACGCGAAGGAGCAGCAGCTTCCCGCCCGCTGGGCTGAGGCAGGAGCGCGGTGCTCTGTCCCGCCCTGGCGGCCATCTTCGCCATTGCACCCCCTGATGGAGAAGACAGGAATGCCGCGGGGAGGCTTCCTCAAGAAGCCGGGAAGCACCAGGACCGCTTACAGGGAAC